AGGAAATTAGTTCTTTTGAACTTGTTCCCCCTGATTTCTATTGGTCATTTTCTCTCTTTTCATCCCTTTCCCCTCTTGTCTGTCTAATCAGTCTTGTATCACATGGAGACAAAGAAGGGGGATTGTGACTGAAAATTAAACTTCAACATTTGAGCGTTTACATGCTGCTGGCATGGCCAATCTTCTCAGAGGCACTTTTTCAGGCTTTCAGGTTAGCTGCCACTGCTAGTGCCTGTATAATAACCAGACGACATGAAGAAAAAAACAGCCTTGATTATTCTCCAATTTATGCCGGCCGTCTATTGAAACCCTGCCGAAGGCACATTATAGCGAAAATTGATGGAAAATTGAACTAGAAATTCCTACCTCCTTCCATAGCACCCTACATTTTCATGTGATCTCGTATTAGGGTCATCATACTTTGGCTAGGACAGACTGAACTTATTGCATGTAAGCCTGTTCTAACAGGAAATTTCAATGAAACAGAAAAGATTGCATAAGAATACCAAAAAACTGCACTAATTAAATAATTAGGAAAAAATTGCAGGAACCCCAGAAAAGTCTACTATCCTAAACTTATTTTACCTATAAAAAAAAGAAAAAAAAAAGACATGCAAATATTTGTCCCCACACAATTATAAGCGTATTTATTTTCTTTCTTACTGTTAACTTAAAAATGATAAGAAAAAAATATATAATGTATTTCACAAAATGATATTAATTTATCAAACGAAATATTTCATTTAATACTTAATTTAATGAATTTCTCTGTTAGGTTGAATCCCTCCCATCTTTCTTATCATTCCCCACATTACATTAATGACTTTAATAATCTTTTCCAATTTCATCACAAAATTTCCTCCAATAATTATTTTTTGCCATCCGAATTGTTTTCCTGACAATTGCTTGTGTTCTCTTATACTCAATAAAATCATTAAATGAATATGATTTTTTTACTTTCTTAAATACTCTGTTCCTTTTTTTTATAATTTCACTGCACTCTTCTGTCCACCATGGTACGACCTTCTTTCTCCTTTTCCCTGTGCTTTTCCCAATTACATCAGTTGCTGTTTTGTAAATAACATCACTTATATATTTATTTAATTCATCAACATCTTCTATCGATATATCTATTGTCAACATTCTAGTCTCACTTATTTCTTGGAATTTTTTCCAGTCAGCAGATTTAAGTTTCCATCTAGGATTTTCTTCCCTTTCAACGTGTTCCAAGTCTATTCCAATTTTACAGCTTATTGGGAAATGGTCACTACCTACTGTACTTTCTTCCATAACACTCCATACACACTTCCTTGCCAAACTTTGAGATGCTAGAGTCAAATCAACTGCTGAAATTCTTCCCTGTGCAACATCTACCCTTGTATTCCACTGCACTGTTCTAAATCCTATTCCTTGTTGTACAAAGGTAGCAACTCCACCTCCATTTCCAACACCCCTATCTCTTCGTACTGCTACATATCCTTGTAAAACAAAGTTTAAATGCGTTTTCAGCCATGTTTCCTGTATAAATATAATTTGCGGTCTGCTTTCTAAACTATCAACAAATTTTTTAAACTCCTGTCCATTAGCGATCAGACTTCTTGCATTCCACTGTAAAATTGTAAAAACCATTACAATCCACCACATGCTGCTTGAGAGTTTGTATTTTGCATCTTGATTCTCTCATTTATTTGCTCCACAGTTACTTCTTCTGTTTTCAGATGTTTTCCTGCTGCTCTGATTATGATTCTAATCGTTTCTGTTCTACTTTCTGTTTGTGCAGAGCAGTTCATTACTTCAGCCACAAAGGCAATGAATGACACTTTGTCTACTAGCATAGTATTTGTCATTCACCTTGCTACAACTATGGCTTTCTTTTGTTCTAGTTGTAAC